ACTTTCCTACCTTTTCACGCATCTGCATCTTCTTTCTTCTTAATCTTCTTTCTTCTAATCTTTCTCTTCTCTCTGCCTCTTCCCTGCTCTGCTTTTCATCTGTCCATATTGTCGGAAGTTTGACTTCTAAACTTCCTTCGACGAATACACAATTACACTCCACTACACTCCACTACACTCAATTACACTACACTACAAGGGCCCAGTCCGAAGATAACTGGAGGCCTCAACACGCAACATGTAGAGCATCAAGAAAGGTCATGAAATCAAGAAATACCATCGAATGTTAATAAAAATGCCACGAAAAATGATGAATGGATCAGTTCATCCGACTAACATCACACTAGGAGAGGCACCATCCAGCAAGCAAATTGGGATCCCAAGTAGGACGGAAACCAGCAATATTAAAACCACCAATCAGATATACACATTAGTACTATATAGGTTGTCTATCAGATCTTATGATTATTAACTATTGTCAGTTTTGTCAAATCAAAAGATATTACGCACTTTGAGGTTTGAAATAAAACGTCATGCCCGTGCAGGGCATGTAGTGTATCATAGTCTATCTAGATGTTTGCTTTGAATATGCCCGTGATCCTACGCACACAAGTGGAAGCCGCGAGTGGTACAAACATCAAAAAGGACGAAGCGAACAGGTACAACATCATTAAACCATGTAAATAAATGATTGTAAATTATGCATAACTATCATCAACTATCGATATACTGTTGGCTTCTCCATTGGATTATTCAGTGCGTGACTCTGGCCGCCCATTGCTTCCCACCGCTTCCCAAAGCTTCGACCCATTCGACAATGCCGCTGACAAGGCGCCACTGGGTCGTTCGATAAGGCTTCCACCTTTGGAACAGTGATTTGTTGCCCGGTGAGCAAATGGGTCTGTCTGAAAATGGCCATGTTTATGTTGGGATAATGATGATTCATGATTAAGCATCATTTTTTCGAGAACTTGATCTTCAGACAAAACCAAATATAGTACATTATATATACTTATATTATATATGTAGAATAGTATAGAAAATATAGACATTGACATTGACTAAAAGGTACTTGATGCTGGATGTCACCTCTGGATTTTTGAACCAGAAGGGAACCATTGGTCAAAAATTCACCCGCCGAGGTGATGAATGGCATCGCGGAACAACAATTTTCAGTCTGTCGACCACAACGTTGCGACAGCTGAACACCAATCTGAATGGTGACAAAGAAAACCATGGAAAACCTTTGGAACTAGATATTTCATGATAGTTCGCCCTCTTTGGTCGCTTCGGAATGGATGGACTACATATGGGCCACTAACACCGACAGGAATGTGGGATTTTGACATGATTTAACCATGAAGACTGGGGATAAACCATTAAAAATAAAGGATAATAAAGGATTGATAGAATCGATGGGGGTAAACACCAACAATCAATGGAGATCTAGTCCGGTGTCATGAAAGATCGCAAGCTGTGAAACCTCTGAACTCAATGAGCATTGAAATGGGCAATGCCTGACTGTCAATGCCATGGTCAAGTTGCATGAGATAGCCATCCTATCCTCATACTCTTATAGTGGGTATATTAGCCAAATATACATGGGGGATAACCATCCACTACATAGATTCTTGAATAAATATCTAATGTTGTCTAACCAATACTGATATCTTGGCAATAGTAGAAACTTTTTTTCCCAACTCCAGTTTTATTTCCAATACTAAAAGTCAATTAGCTTAATTTAATTTTAATATTACCGAAAAACTCATGTTCTGACCTTGTCCAGAGGGCATGGCCAATAGTGGACCCAACATGGCAATAGTGGAAACTTTTTTCCCAACTCTAGTTTTTTCTCCAATACTAAAAGTAAATTAGCCTAATTTAAATTTATTATTGCCAAAAAAACTCATGTTCTGACCTTGTCCAGAGGGCATGGTATAGTATCCAATATTAAAAGTTAATTAGCCTAATTTAATCTACTATTGGAATGCTGACCCCCCTTAAAAAAATAGGGGGGATGTTATTATAAGGCAGCCAACATTACTATAAATATCTATAAATTATAATTAGGCAATGTCTTGCACACGGCGCATATAACACCAATCAACACAATGACGGGCCCCTACTGTCATTCTACTAGGGATAATTCTATTGTAATACCATGCAATCAACATTGATTTTTGTGGCCGTAGAGACGCCCAGACGCCCTGCCACATGCAACTTCTTTTCAGCACAAAGTGAAGTCATCTTCTTAGCAGGTCGGCATTTTACATTGGTCAAACATGTCAAATGCACCAAAAACTTCAAGCATAGGGGGAAGCTTTGCCCCTTGATCTGCCAGTGGGAGTTTTCTCACTTTCAGTCATTGTCAGACTCCTCTTGTTGTTGCTCCTCCCGCGATCCTTCCCCATCTTGTGAATCTTCTGCATTCGATAACCATGAAGAAAATGACAGTGGTGAAAATTGGTCCAGCGACATTGCGCGGACGAAGTCCATCAGATCAGGTTCGTCTTCCGATTCACTGTCTTCAAGTTCACTGCCTTCTTCCATGGAAAGCATGCGTCGCAGATCGTCATCCAGTTCGTTGCTGGGACAAACGGCTTCTTCCCCTGAGACTAAGAACCAAAGCGCCCCAATCATGACCACGATGCACCCGATGTAGCCTAGCAGTTTCCACCAAGGTGCTCCGTCCATCTCCTGCAAGATGATGAGTGCACTGAGGCTGTTTGAGACAATGTTGGACCCCTGGAACACCGTCACCATATAGAGAGCTTCGTATTTCTGCATGCCCTTCGCCATGTATGGCGCATTAACCACAGCGAAAAACACCGCTCCAGTCAAAACAATCCATGGGAGCCAGCGCCCCCAGGGGCTGCAAACGTGTGCAGAAGCGCAGTCAGCTGCGAAAACTGCTGCCACGCGCGTGCACCACATGTTCCCTGCCATGGAGCCTGCAGTGGCTCCCAACGAGAATCCTCGTAGCACCGAACCTTTCGCCGAACGTCTGCGAAGCCACACATTCACACAGAACCACAGAGCAAAGACCAAGCAGTAGACCAAGACGCTCCATCGCAAGAGAACAGTTTCAGCACGTTCTAAGGTCCAGACCTCTTCATCTTCATTGTGATGTTTGAACAGCATCGACGCCGTGGCCGTGATAAAGATGATGGCGGATGCAATCAATCTGCAGGGGTTCAGCATGAGGGCGACTTTGCAGAGCAAAGAATGAGGAAACAAGTTGAAGATAAACCGCCTGTGAATAAACGAGTGGTTTACCCATCCTAGGTTAGTAGGTATCATCTGGCAACATCCATGTTGTTGGCACGGAGAGATGGTCTTAAGTGGGTTTAAGTGGTATTCCTCTACCAAATATTATGTTGGTTTTAAACCCGTGTGGACCCTTTACCAGTTCAAAAGCCCGGGTCCTGCGGTTTGTGAGCTTCTCACATAAGGTGAAGGGAGCAATGACAGCATTGATCACCTGGCACGATTGCTTCGCACCCATGGCACCCCAGAATCAGTTGATTGGCAATTGGATTTCATCCTCCCATTTGGAAGATGGAAATAGAAACATGTCATGACCTTATGTTACAGAAAAATCCTCAAATAGGAAAAAAAACATGAAAACACTGAAAAAACATCATCAGATAATCATTTGTGTAAGTACTTTTTTTCAGTGGTGGAAAATTCAGCATGCTTGTCGGTGACAAGACATGATCTCGAATAATTCCAGCCGAAAAAATGTGATCCTTCCTAGGTAGTTCACCATGCTTGTTTCCGAAAAACTCTTCCCCGTTTGTTTTTCAAACCTAGTGACAATATTAACGCCAGAAAATGGTGCAAGGACAGCAGCCGCCGCAAAGGCATAGCCAGCGACATCAAACAGAGGGCCAAGCAAGATGTTCATAGCCTTGGAGCTGGCTGAGTCTGGGCGAACAAAGTCGTCTAGATTGATGGTCATCATCTTGCCGATCAAAATCTTGCTGCAGTGAACATCAGTGTGTTTTGCAGCCCATCCCCAAGTGGTCATTATACTATCGATCAGAGGGAGAAGGGCAAGGGAGCAGTCCCGGCCACCAAAAAAGTACTCCTCTTTCCCTACCAATATCCCCTGTTTTTGCGGGACCTTCAAATGAACAAACCCATCACTCAGGGATTTGTTGAAACATCAGTGATCTTCATCATGTAGATCATCCACTTTGCTGGTTGATTTTCCAGTCATCAATTCACAGGAAGGCCCCCTCCAAAAAAAACATAAAGGACCGGATAACCCCACATGTTAACAACTTCTCCAGACTTAGACGGAGCACAGAAAAGCAACCATGGAAGAGGAAGTATGAGAGTGATGGAGGGGTGATGGTGGGTGAGTTTGTGTGTGTAGGTATGTATGTGCATGTACAGGTGTGTCACTTTGGTAGGAGAGTGAGAGTGAGAGTGAGAGTGAGAGTGAGAGTGAGAGTGAGAGTGAGAGTGAGAGTGAGAGTGAGAGTGAGAGTGAGAGTGTGAGTGTGAGTGTGAGTGTGAGTGTGAGTGTGAGTGTGAGTGTGAGTGTGAGTGTGAGTGTGAGTGTGAGTGAGTGTGGGAGGACAGGCGGGAGGAGGAGGAGGAGAAGGAGGAGGAGGAGGGAGTGGATAGAGCACTAGAAACAAAAACCCCATACATCAATGTAGGGAAATATCCCCAATCGATCCAGCAATTAAGATGAAAAACCATGAAACAACATCAAACATCTTTTGCAACTCCAGGTCACCATGCCCAGGATGAACAATTTGCGGCTCTCCCCGAGTTTCTGCTCTTTCTTCTTGAGTTCAGACATGCGGATCATTTGCATTCCACATGTCCCCATCGTCAATCCGAAAACGACCTTGGAGTGGGGCTTCCAAAAACAAAGACACATAATCACACATACTGTTACTTAGTGCATCTTAGTGGATACACCGCACCACATACAAACTGTATATATAATCTCATATACATTTTACATTGGCTTGGGTTTGTCT